CTTACTCCTGTTACTCGTCGTAGAGGAGTATAGGCCGTCGACCAGCATTCTACAACCCACTCTGTCATGGGCTTTCTTTTCCAGTTTTATCCAATTGTTATTTATTCTTCTCATTGGTCTTCCTCTTCTCTTTTAGTCTTGAGGATTCCAAATGAGGGCTTGTCTTCTGACATAGCTGGGTGCTTTCCTCAATATATGTCCTATCCACTTCCAGAATTCAGTCAAAACTTTAATGTTTGTTCAATATAGATTTTGTAATTAGTCTGAGAAATTAAATTTTAACTATCAGAATTAATTATTCAATTAGTTCTAAAAAACAGTTTTTTGTACAAAAATATGTTCAGTTTATTAAAATAAAGGATCGGTAAAATTCAATCCTTGGAAATCGGAAACATTTCTATTCTAATCGGTTTATAGTTCCTTGGATAAAACAAAACTTTGTACATTAGTAGTAATTGTATAGTTTTAGATTGTTATTATTGTATACTATACAAGGGTTTTATTATCTAATGGCATAGTTTTACAACTGTATAACTTCAATAATAAATTAACATGATAAATTATGGTGTACAGTGTTATTTAGTATGTCAGACAAACATGAAAACGTTATGGTTTATTGAAAAGAATCCAAAATTCATGTTACGTAATGATTAATGTAAAACTATGTTTTTGAACATTAAAACATATTAAGTAAACAACTAAGCAATCATGATTTACACGATACATAATAAATGAAGTTACTAAATTTTATAGATCTGTATATAAACTACCATTTTATACTAACCGAAGTCATAAACTGATATGTTGAGGAAAAGGATGTTTAATTATTCAGTCAGTTGTAATTTGACATAATTCTTCTTCTAGTTTATAATTTTCGAGTTACATCATGTACTAATTAACTGAATTGTTAGGAACTAAAGGTTGTTAATAATGGAACAAAAAAGCATAATATGTTTGTTCACTAGTGGATAAACACTACAAGACATAAAGTTTTGGAAATCCTATCCAAGTGAAACGGTTTAAATTCGTAATGCTTTCTTCTCACTCTTATTCAATAGTCATAGACTTTGGAGTTGAAACACTCAATAGAATCACAATAGTACGATTAGTATTTTCCATCATTTACCCGCAAGGGTAAATTAAGCTATGGGTTTATATAAACGAATCATTCATCTAATGAAATTTATAACTTTTAAAATCGACCAACATTTCAGCTTAATGACAAATAAATTTATCAATAGTAAATTAGCTGAAAACTATAAGTAGATAGCAAATGTTGAGCAGAGTATGACGAATACAATAAGTCCGAGTTTAACACCTAAACACTGATTATACTAAACTCTAGTTGAGATAAGTTGTTTATCAAGTGACCGTTGAAAAGCTGCTTAGATTTTAATGGCCAGATTCATTAAAACAAGAAAGGAGGTTTAACAGAAAAAATCAAGGCATGCCTATGATAGAATGATGCTAATGGGGTCATAAAACCACAGCTGATGCTACTATAGTGTAAGTTACTTATATCCATATAAGTAGTATATAACAGTGGTCAGTCATAAAATGTATTTCAGTAGAAGATCGAGAAGGAAAGAACGCGAACGCAATGCAATTGGTATAAAAATGAATGAACAATGAAATCTGTGACAATGGACTGATATTTGCACGGTCAAATTTGAGACAATGGATTGATATTTCGCAAATTAACTATTTACTATTTGAGCAAAGATGGATAGTGGTTAGCAGTGGAATCCAGGACGCGCGTTTCGTCCTGTTTGGGACTCATCAGCTGGATGTACCTGCATCTCAAAGTTGATGTTCATTCTGGGACTCGAACGCAGTACCGTTCGCTTCAAACGCCATCGTGTTATCCACTTAGTTACTATCCATCTTTGCTGATAATGCTTGTAAATTAAGGCAGTATCGAGGCATACGCACAGTATGCACATATGCCAATAAGAGACTGATCAATTTCAGTCTTAAAACATCAATGGGAAGATTCAAGTAAAACAATACTAAGTGAATTATTTACTATATGGTTCACTGTTTATATTGTGATGCTCTGTAATTTTGTGTCAAATACATTCGATTGTCCCCACTCGTGCTCTTGTTCACTGCACTATCAGTATTACGAAATGTGTCAAAAATGTACGATTTAATTAAAATCATAGAAATTTTTTTTTAAACGCATTCAAAAGAATACTAAGTTGAATGTATGTTGAAATGATTTAACGAAATTTGAATTCTACTGATATGATAGTAACAAAAATAAAATTTCGATAATTTATTGACATAACCTACTGTTCACTAGTCTGTGAATGAAATAGGTCAGAATTTTGAATTGAAAATGTAGTAATCTGTTTGATCAGAGAATAGTACTTTAAGAGAACGATTAACATGTATATGTTTTCTATATTGTTCGGTTAAAACGTTATTTGACCAGGATTTATTTTTCTTTCTAAATATTTAAATTTCTAATCCCCTTAACTGATTATTTAACACAGGAAAACAAAGTATAACTCATATTCAAATGTATTGACCTCTCTGTCGATAAAACATGCTTATTCTATGAGCATATTTTCATATGTTTGCGTGTATAAATGTATTACGCGTTAGTAACTAGAATAATTCACTTAGAACTGAAAAAATAAACGTCAATTGTTGGTTGTAAAGTTTAATGACTTACTAGTTATATAGTTTTAATTATTGTTATAATTATTGATAATTAAAGTTTATTGATTTACATTAGAATAAATTCATTTATGGTTAGCATCTATAGAGATAAAATGAAATGAATTAGACAGGAGTAGTTGTATTAAAGTCAAGTATATCTACTTATGCTGAGTAGTATAAACACACACAGACACATGCACACACATTTTTATGTATAATAATTTATAATCCATTAAACATTCATTAGGTTATTGAAGTGAAAAGTGAATAGATGAGTTAGTAAATCATTGAGTCCATAGGTAACTGATTTAGTTAGTTAGTGTATATGTATATGCTTATAAAGTAAATGAATTGGCAGGAAGGAAATGAATTAGATTTTTCATATAAAAATATTCTTTTATTAAAAAATCATTTCCTGTCAATGAGTCTACATAGATTAAATTTTCAATAGGAAATATTAATAACAAGAAAAGAAGTATAGTTGAATGGAATTTTGTTTTTAATAAGAAAAAAGATCATTAAAAGTTTGTAACAATTTCCGGCATCGACAGATATCTATAACAAAGTTCATATAACATTATGTCAAATAAAGTGTATTGATGATTCAGTACAATGTTAGGTAAAAGAATGCCTAGCTAGATAATGTAATCAATATATATATTAATCAATCAATTTAATCTATTCCTTTTAGACCAATACCTGATATAATACTTTAACGTATACATTTTTGTTTAGGTCTCACTCATAAATACTACCTAGTGATGAATAGTTTTTCAAACTATTGAAAAAAGCAAATATTTGACTGCTTAACTGTCAAGTTATATGAAAAACATACTACTTTTACAGTGATCAACATGATATAATAAGTAGTATCATAAAGTTATACGTTTACATACTATGGTAATTACAAGATGAAAAATGTTCATAGCTTATGATAGGGATTGTGAAAGTGCTGTGTTCTATGAAGTAAAGTGTTTAAGCCATGAAGCTTTCATTGTTCTTCTTAACAACATCATCAGCATGAACTTCAGACAAAGTCAGCAGAAATTAGTAGTCAACGAAATATGCTGACAGTTAGTCGTGAAGAGATTCTTACAGCATATTCCTCTTTGAAATATATACCGATGATTTTGTTTAGAAAGATGATGTAAGCTTCATAACTAAATCGTCCAGCTAAAATTATACAATACCTACCGAATCTTGTAATACATGGGTAAATGACTCTGTTAGCAGTTAAAAAAAATCTACATAAACTATCACTTTGTGTCTTTGGCTATTAGTTTTAACAAAATAAGAAATTCAAATAAAATTTATACCAACAATTCTACATAAAAACGTTTTGAAGGTAAGCGTATTTTTCAAAAACTGCCGATCAGAAGCAGAGCATCCTTTTCCTAGTAAGCAATTTTAGGCTTGAAAATTGTTTTTATTGTTGTAGTTTTAATATACATATATCTTGCGAAAGTATTGAACATTTAATGTTGCTCTTTTTCAAAGGCAAAATAGTTAGATTTGATCAATATACAATGCTACCACATGATCTATTTCTTGACGATGTTCCATAATTGAGAATACGTAAATTGTTCTAGGAAGTACCTTTTCCAGATACTGCAATTCTCACAGAAACTCGGTTTAAGATTTTTAGTCAGTTTGCACAACTAAACCGAAGCCAGAAAGGTTTGTCACAGATTTTAGTTAGCAAAACTATGGTTTAAGATATGTAGGAAACTATAGAAGTAACTTTTGGCTTTAATTAATTATATAATTTAATTACAGGTATTTTTTAAACAGGTTTAGGATACTTTTACGTAAAATATTTACATAATGGAACTGTGTTTTTGTAGTATATTGACCTTCCAGTTAAAGATTAACCAAATTATAATATTTAGTAATAAATTCTGAGACGATAGCTTAGAACAAACCATTTAGAAAATACATTGAGATAACTATACTATGAAACAGTTGATTTCTAAGAAACATTATACGGTAATTAATCGAATTTAGTCATGAATTAAGAATGCGGGTAACCATGTTTTTCATTTCAGTTACTTCTGATAGGTAATAAATCTAAAGATTAAAAGTTATATATCCCTACAAGTTCAACCAAAAACGTTTATACACATTTATAGTGTTAGCCGTTTTATCATCTTACTCAGTGAAAGATTATGAGACAATGAGCTTGTGTGGACCACCGTTAATACAGATTTAATAATTTTAGTAGAAATCGATGGGACATTTAAGCTTAAAATAATTATTATGACACAAACGATATATTCATAAATGAATTTAAAAAGTAAACTAAATAATGATACTTTCATTCTATACCATTTCAGTTTCTTAACGAACAAAAGAGTTGTCAAGTCTGAAGCCAATGCAGGCTATGGACAAATGAACACTGATGGATCAGGTGGGACAGCGTACACTGACAACACATGTCAAGGCAAATGCATGTACTTCTTATGCTGTCATTGTTCAAAGCGTTATTATACGGCATGGCTATCAAGTCTAGGTTTTATGATTACATTTGGTATTCGTTGTAATATGAGCTGGGCTATGTTGACTATGCAAGCTAGACACATAGCAGCAAATCTGTCTCATTTACCACATTCTAAACATTATGAGCATACACATCATGAATCTGGTGATCATGTGGTTGGATTTGGTGGACTGATGAATGTAACGGCGGTGAGTTGTAAATAACAATTTCAACATAAACTGATTACTTAAACATTGAATTGTATGAAGTATGTAATTATTAAGTGATGTATGTTCCGCAGGTTTATGTTAAAATATTATACAGGTTTAGTCCGGAAATGTTAGGAAAAAGCCTCTTTTAGAAGTTTCAACTATGATAGAACCAATATTTTATTCTCTATTGAAGCGGATGGTACTGGGTTCGAGTTCTGGTCTGAACATCAACTCTGAGATTCAGGTACATCTAACTGATGAGTCCCGAGTGGGACGAAACACACATCCCGTATTCCACTGTTAGCCACCAACCATCTGTGCTTAAAATTAGTCATTATTATCTGTATAATTTTTCGACGATATTCCATAAACTTTTAAACCTCCTAAAGTCAACCCACGATCCCGTCAGTTTCGCAGACAATACAACTTTAGAGTCTCAAACATGGTATTGATCAATTGAATCTTTCAATTGATAACTATTAAGAAATTAGCTGTCCAACAAATCTATTTGATAATTATTTCCAATTTTTGATATGAAAGTTATTAATAACAGTGTATTGCGAGAATAATGAAGCTATTAATTTAACATTTGAATACTGTATGGTAAATGTATAGTATTATAGTATAGTTTTGTATAGTCAAAGTTACAGTGCACTACTTTCTTAAATTATTAATTTAAGTAAAGTCTTCCTAATAATGAATAATATATTCCACTTTTAACCGAAGTTACGCGTATGACGTTTTCGTCACCAATAAGGTAATAAACTATTATTATTATTATTATGAATGAATAAGCATTTTAACTGAGTGCTGTGTAATAAATGACTTCGATCAGTAATTATCGAGCAACTAAACTAAAAAAGACTCAATCGTGATATGTTTTCAACTTGATGATGCATGATGTTTTATTTCTACTCCTTTACTATTCGATTCGTGGGCTAATAAACAGTAAACAGAATCAATGGCATATCATTTTAGTATAATTCTATATTTTTGTTTTTGGTGGAGTTTTGTTCTCTGAGCTGGATGATTTGGTCGTGGAGCTTTCATCGTTCTTCTGAACGACATCATCAGCACAAACTTCAGATAAAAGTGAAGTGTTTGAATTTCTCCATATGTGTCTCAAAGCTTGTTCTCCACCATCTATATTTTTGTGTTTATTGAACTTGAGAAGTTGATATTATTTAGACTATGAAAATCGGGGATTGAATAGTAGATTAAAATCTAGATGATACCGGTGAACGTCATTACTAATCAACAATTAAAACAAAATAACCTGAATGAAATTCACTTGGTAATGTTTACTTGAATTTTCCCATTGATGTTTAGGACTATAACTGATCAATCTCTTATTGGAATATGTGCATACTGTGCGTATTGTATCGATATCGCCTTAATTCACAAGCATTATAAGCGAAAATGGATAGTGGCTAGCAGTGGAGTGCAGGACGCGCGTCTCGTCCTATTTGGGACTTGTCAGCTGGATGTACCTGCATTTCAGAGTTGATGTTCACTCTTGAACTCGAACCCAATACCAGAGACCAATCAATGGCAGTCCTAAACATCAATGGGAAGATTCAAGTAAACTTCACCCCATTGTACAAGCAAGTGGCTATCAGGGCTCAGTAGCTAAATGGCTATGCGATAGCGTTTAAAGCGAATGGTACTGGATTCGAGCCACAGATCCCACATCAACTCTGAGATGCAGGTACAACCAGCTGACGAGTTTCACACAGGACGAAATACATGCCCGGTATTCCACTGCTATCCACTATCTTTCTTTGCTTATAACCTGAATGAGATTGTCATAGAATAGTTAAACAATAAATAAATAAATTAAAATTTTATTAAGAAAAAAATAAACATCTTTACTAACTACTAACTAATTTCTTATAGATTAATGAAGAACAAAAAGAGTTTTCAATTATAACCAGTTCAATTTTATTGACAGTAACTTCTTTGATTGATTTAATTGAACTAAAAATGAATAGTTTTATGTTACCAATGTTTATTCAGAATTCAATCATAAATTATTATTCAGATAAATGAAATTGATTTCACACTGCTATATGTTAATCCTCATTGTTGTTGTTTGTTTTTATTCGAATTTTTATTTAATTCATTATAGAAACCAGATTTTTATTGGACAGCTGGTCAAAGAGGATTTGTGGATAGTTCATTCTTTTATGGTTATTTAATAACTCAAATACCTGGTGGAGTAATAGCAGCTAAATTTCCAGCTAATAGATTATTTGGTATAGCTGTTGGTGGAAGTGCTTTTTTAAATTTATTATTACCAGCTGCTTGTAAAATTCATTTTGGATTAGTTATGACAATAAGAATGTTACAAGGTTTAGTTGAGGTAAAAGAAAAAAAGTATAATTGAACATTACATAATTATCAGTATGGGAGTTGTGGAGATTATTAAGGTTTTGTTTGGGATCATGAACTGATTATTGTTAGACCACCATTGAAAACCTGAAGGCCTTGGGTTCGAATTCCGCTAGCGGGATCGTGGTTGCACATGGCTGAGGGGCCCCACAATAGGACGAAACGGCCGTCCAGTGCTTCCAGTTCTCTATAGTAGTTTAACATCCATCGGTTCATGATCTCAATTATTTAATTAGTTGTTTTAATTTTTTTGTTTTAATTTAGTATAATTATGAAAAATTCGTGATTATTATTAATACATAATAACTATTGAATACTGTTGTATATTTTTGGTTAAAATAATCAGTTGATGTTAAAATTAAGTTGAGAAACTGTTGAATTGTTGTATTTTCTTGAGCGATTACCATCTCTTCCAAAAATATTCTATAAAAGTTATTTTAAAATATTCTCATTAGATTTCTGAAATATTATGATAAATTTGTAAGTAAAGACATCCAACCTGTCATTAAAAAACTTCAACTTACTTATTTACGCTTGTTACCCCTCATGGAGGAGTATAAGCCACCGACCAGCAATCTACATCCGGCTCCCTCCAGAACAATCCTTTCTAGTTCTTCCCTGTCGCTATTCATCCTTTTCATATCTGCTTCGATTCCGTGTTCTTCGGCCTTCCTCTTTTCAATTTCCCTTCAGGATTCCAAGTTAGGGCTTGCCTCGTGGTGCAGTTTAGTGAGTTCCTCAATGTTTATCCTATCCATTTCCAACGTCATTTCCTAATTTCCTCTTCAGTTGGAAGTTGATTTATTCTCTCCCACAGTAGATTGTTACTGATGGTATCCGGTCAATGGATATTGAGTATCTTGCGTAGACAACTTTTTATGAATACTTGTACTTTTCTGATGATTGTTGTAGTAGTTTTCCATGTTTCATTTCCGTACAGTAGGACTGTTTTGTCGATAGTATTAAAGATTCTCACCGTAGATATTGGTTGAAATCTGTTTTGATTTCCTAAACGATTCAAAGTATTATATTAATGAATGAATCCAACAAATTAGAAAATACTGATATAACTCCATTTAATTTGGATAAAATATTCTAATCAATATTTACAGATATAGAAAGTTTTTATTTTACGAAGTAAAATCCAAACAAAAATTTTCAAATATCTGAATAGAAAAACTTCACTTTGTTTAAATTTATATTACGCTTTTTAAAAAAATAAGAAACTGTGGGTAGACAACATTCTGAAGAAACTATCATAATAACACTACAAATGGAAAGACTGAAAGCAATTGAGAATAACTATTGGTGTTAATTTATAACTTTTTATCAATTCACTTCAATCAAACGTGGTATATTAGTTGTAGTCAGCGATTACCTAAAACGTTTACATGAAATTAAGCTTTATTATGATTTTACAAGATTACGAGGTCGACGCTCAGATGTTTTATTTTTATACATTTAATTAAATTCCATTATTTAAGAAATTGCATTGTTCTTTTAAAACATTTTTATTAAGGTATTTAAAGCTTAAAAGATTAAGTTCTTTCGACCACTAAGTTGTAACTTAACATTCCATGCTTCTAATTTGTGACTATTTGATAGTTTGAAGTAAAATGGAATTAGAAAACACTGGAAACTACATCTCTTGAACTACCAAGAATAAATAAAAAAATGTAGATGGAGATGTTATTAAATTTATTTTTAGAAAAAGATGGCCACGATGAAACTTCCACAACCAAACTATCCAGCTCAGAGAACAAAACTCCATCAAAATCATCCACCTGAGTTACAAACCTTGTCTACCATCTCAAATGTTCATCTAACGAATTCACTTCTAACTTAGTTTGTTTGGGTAATTTGTGAAGAAAAAGTTCATTTGAGATTCGTTTATTTTCGTATATTATTCGTCAGGATAGACTGTGAAACAGGACCATTGAATATCTACTCAATAGTCTAAAATAATATGACTATCAAAATAAATTATTGTTTATGTGTAACAATAGGTATACACCGCTAAGCATCTCAAAATAAAGAGAAAACTTGGGTGGATGTTCTTTAATTTCAATTTGTTCTTCAGCTAATGTCATTGAGTTATTACACTGATCTAACTTCTGAAAACCATTCATTCGAAAGGTACAGTTACTTTATTTAATAGAATGACTGAAACTTTTACATATTTTTTAAATCACATAAGTCAAACTAGAGTAATTGCCTGATCAACGAATAATGATGTTCTAAAACATACACATTTTCAGTCTTTTTAGCCATTAATCATTTTCATATATGGAATGATTTTTTTGTACAGGGTACGTCTTATCCAGCGTGTCATGGTATATGGAGATATTGGGCTCCACCACTTGAACGTTCTCGACTAGCAACAATTGCATTTTGTGGTAAGTTTCTTCTAAATTAAGTTATAATAACTTCGTTTCATATAATTTAATAACGTTACATTCTTTTATGAACAATAAAACTCTGAAAAGTGTAAATTACCTTGTTTTTTATGATTTACATATAAAATTACATGCGAATACAGTCAAAAGTTCTTGTCAGTTTAATTACTGATTCTATTATTTAATGTATATTTATAATTTATCCTGTCAACGAGCATTACTTCAGCTTTTTTAACCGACAACATATATTGATGAAAAATGACTTATTGTTCTGACATACCGAATACACTATTTAAACAGATGAGTTCATTTGGTAAACATAACGTGAACTGCAGCGATTTGGATGACTCTGCCGGTTTCCCACATTGTACGATCATTCTATGTACCTAAATTAATGGGTGCTCTGGTTGTCAGAAGGGGCATCAGCCTCATGACTTCCGAAGGAACTCGGCTTTCACCGTGAGGCGTCATAACTCTTCTAAATGAAAAACTTCTGACTTACAGGGCAGAGTTTAAATGGTTCGAGTTATTTTTTCTTGTTAGCGTTTTTTTATTAAGTTAGTTTTCTATAGGATATGGTCGCTAATCCCATGCCCAACCCTCCTCATTTATCGGGGCTTGGGACCGGCAGTAGCCCACGAGGGGCTCTAGGCGGAGTTATAACATGTACCAATACCAGTAAAAAATAATTCATTCAAAAATATTTGACAGAAGGTGACTTCAAAACTTGTTTATATCATACAAGTAAAGATTAGAGAAGTTTTAACCATGGCATACTACACACAGATTATTGATTTTCGAAACAGAATAAACATTTTCATTTTCTTTCGCAAAGTATTACTTCTTCTATCCATAGTACATCAATTGTTTGATTAAGGACAATGAATAAATTGCCATACTAACAAAATTGATGTTTGCTGGTCAATTCAGATAGTAGCTAGTAACTAACAAATAAGCAGGACTTATATTTTAAAGCTATATTTACTTTAAATAATGTACTATATACATGTAATTTGTTCTTTTTTTTAAATTTTTTGAATCAATATAGGTTCGTATGCAGGTGCAGTACTTGGATTATCACTTTCCGGTCTACTAGCTCAACAAATGGGTTGGCAGTCACCCTTTTATTTCTATGGTAAAATGGTTTATTATATGATAAGAATGTATTTGCTTTTATGTCATTAAAAATTAATATTTCCATCATAAGATGATAATTTTGGATATACAGAGAAAGTTTACTGTCTATCATTTTAACTGACGCTTGACCATAAGCTCTTAAAAAGGCTTCTTTAATTATTGTTGGCAAAACAGGCAAGGTAACAGGGTTTCATTAAAATGTGACCGTAAGTTGACAAAAATATGCCGACCCTTTATGTGTACCTCAGATACGAATTCCAAAAAAAACTTTATTCACAATATGTTTTCAAAGCTTTTGTGATATGTATTTATTTGAAACGAAATATTAAGAAATAATAAATTCACTGGAATATTCATTAGATATAGGAATACTGTAGATAAACAGTATTATTGAAAAATATCATTTGAGTGGAGTTGATTTTGTTTGAGATGATTAATGGAACAAACATGGATGCAGAATCATATAAATTCATTATATTTCGTGGTTTCTCATCAGCTGCCTAAATTTTACTAACTTACGCCTGTTGTTCCTCGTGAAGGAGCATAGGCCACTCACCAGCATTCAACATCCAACCCTGTCCTGGGAAATCCTCCCCAGCTCTTTCCAGTTGTTATTCAACTGTTTCATGTCTGCTTCTATTTTTTGACGTTGTGTGTTCTTTGGCCTTCCTCTTTTCACTTTCCCCTCAGGACTCCAAGTTGGGGCTTGCCTCGTGATGCAGTTTGATGATTTGTGTAATGTATGTCCTATCCATTTCCATCGTCTTTTCCTAATTTCCGCTTCAGCTGGAAGCTGGTGTGTTCTCTCCCAGAGAAGGCTGTCGCTGATGATATCCGGCCAATGGATGTTGAGTATCTTGCACAGACAACTATTTATAAGTCCTTGTACCTTCTTGATGGTGTTTGTTGTAGCTCTCCAAGTTTCATCTCCGTAGAGTAGAACTGTGTTGAAATTCATATAGAAGATTCTGATTTGATGTTGGCTTGGCAATAGTTGTTTTGAGTTCCATATGTTCTTCAATTGAATGAATGCGGTCCTTGTTTTTCCAATCCTCGCCTTTACGTCTTCGTTCGATCCTCCTTGTTCATCGATGATGCTTCCTATGTATGTGAAGGATTCTATGTTTTCCAGAGTTTTGCCATGAAGTGCGATTGGATTAGTGCTCTCCGTGTTGTATTTGGGGACCTTGATTTTCCCCTTGTTTATGTTGAGGCCTACTGATGCAGGGACTGCTGCTACATTGTCTGTCTTTATCTGCATTTGTTTGTGTGTATGCGATAGGAGGGCTAGGTCATCTGCGAAGTCCAAGTCGTATGATTGGTTCTGAGCTGTCCATTGCATGCCGCGTTTTCCCTCAGATCTCGAAATATTCATAATCCAGTTGAACACCAGAAGAAAGAGGAAGGGAAGAGTAGACAGCCTTGTCTGACTCCGGTCCTTACTTAGAATGCATCTGTCAGCTGTGCTCTATGCACGACTTTTCACTGTGGTCCGTCGTATGAGTTCCAGATAATATTGAAAATCTTCTCAGGAACTCCGTAGTGTCGAAGAAGTTTCCATAACGTTCTCCTATGCACACTGTCAAATGCCTTTTCATAATCAATGAAGTTGATGTACACTGACGAGTTCCACTCAATTGATTGTTTGACGATGATTCGTAGTGTCGCGATTTGGTTTGTGCACGACCGATCCTTACAGAATCCAGCTTGTTGATCTCGAAGTTGGGCGTCTACTGCATCCTTCATCCGGTTCAGCAACACTCTGTTAAAGACTTTCCCTGGTACTGTCAGTAGTGTGATTCCTCTGTAGTTTTCACATTTGCTCAGGTCTCCTTTCTTTGAAATCTTGGTGAGGTGTCCTTCTTTCCAGTCCATTGGCACTTGCTCCTCCTCCCAAATCTTTTTGAATAGAAGGTAGAGAATGTTTGTAGTTGCTCCGATGTCTGACTTCAGTGCTTCAGCTGGTATGTTGTCGGGTCCCTCTGCTTTCCCGTTCTTGATTTGTCTGATGGCCATTCTGATTTCTTCCTTCGTTGGTGGGTTGACATCTATAGGAAGATCTATGTGTGCTGCTTCGATGTCCGGTGGATTCATTGGAGCCGGCCTATTTAGGAGTTCTTCGAAGAACTCTATCCATCTGTCTCGCTGTTCTTGAATTTCAGTGATGGGTTACGTATATTTAGTAAAGAATACTTTTATATGTGGGCTGAATTGTTCAGGGAAGGCATGGGTTTTGGTCCCAATAAAAAAGACACCGAATAGCTATTTTTCTTAGTGTGTGACTTCTAAACAATATGCACCCGCAACATTAATAGGAATCGGACTCGGAACTATGAGTACTAACTATGTGAACTTTACCCGTTAAATAGCTAAGTTGTGATACAATAGCTCTAATCAACTTGCACCATGTCAAGATATTTATTTTATATCGCTAGTAATGGCTGTATTTCATTTACGGTGACTGAACACACTGATCACAGCTTCCCATTAGAATCTAAGTATTATATCATAAAACAAGTAACTAGAAAGCACAGATCTATATGTACAATTCGGAGGTTTTGTAAAGATAAATTTGGTTTCTAGGTATCAGTCAGAATGTTTATAATATTCAATACCAACACTTTTGATACAAAGCATATCTACCGATGGAATAGATAGTGAATCCAACCTAAACTTTACTTTATTCTGAGTTATTCTAAAATTATCGGAATGTGTTTTGTGGAGATTTTTAGAAATTTTCACAGATTGAACTCATGAGTCAGTTGAAGCTAGACCACCATTGAAAATCTGGAAGCACTGGACGGCCGTTTCGTCCTAGTATGGGACTCCTCAGCAGTGCGCATCCACGACCCCGCACCACCCGGGGCTCGAACCCAGGACCTACTGGCTCCGCGCGCGAGCACTTAACCATTGGACCACTGAGCCGGCATCCAACGGTGTTAATGTCTAACTTCAACCAATCCACGAAGTTGCGCCACCGTACATCATTGTCTTCAGTGAGTTCCTATCTCACAACAGACCTGGTTGAACTCCACTGGGTTCGAGCCCCGGGTGGTGCGGGGTCGTGGATGCGCACTGCTGAGGAGTCCCATACTAGGACGAAACGGCCGTCCAGTGCTTCCAGGTTTTCAATGGTGGTCTAGCTTCAACTGACTCATGAGTTCAATCGTATTCTAAAATTGTTATGAGGCTATTAATATCTACAGTTATTCATAGATCCATAGCATTTCAACATTACAAGGGATAATGAAAAATTATCAACACTTGTAAATAGACGTTGGTTTAAACGTATTTTTATAAGAAGAAGAAAAATTCATAATCTTCTCAAAGATTAAATTTTTAATAGAATTTTGTGCCTAAGTACTAAGTGAAATTATTTATCTGTAATTTTTCGAATTGTTTAATTAGGTGTTATCGGTATTATGTGGTTCTTTTGGTGGTGGAATGTAACGCATGAACGCCCGTCTTTACATCCAACTATATCAGAAGCTGAACGAACATATATTGAGACTTCAATTGGAGAGTCGCCTACAATAAACGAAAGTGTGAGTTCTCATTCAATTCACCGATATTATAAATTCTCAAGAAAATAATCAACAACATATTTCTTGTATATATGATTCCAAAGTAAAACTTAATGTCAAATAAAGATGAGATTTATCGATTGTTTACGGAAGGCTAGTGTACTCCAGTCTGGCCATAAAACAGTCATATGGAAGGAGGCCCAACGGAGAAGCCATCATGACACCATTTATTTGTCTAGGGAGATCATCATTAAACTTAAAACTGCACACTGGAAGTGCTGCATAGGAGTAGCTCTCTAAGAAAATGTTTTGGTACATCAAATTTAACTTTATTAACGTCAATATAATCATGTAAAAAGCAAATACTTTCTGTGAACAAAGAAGTGAGATCTAACGAGATCCTGGTACAATGGCGTTGATTGTTGAGTCCTCGAACTCAAAAGAACCTGAAATGTTACGTTCTCAGATCCGGTTTCTGACCGATTGTAGAATCTTCATCAGCCATTTGACAGTCACGTGGTATGAATAATTATTGATATCCATTATCGGGCAAAGAGAAGATCCTTCTTATGTACCTTCGGCTGCTTAAATAATCGTGGGATAGAAGAACGTGATGGCCTTAAATGTTTGAACAGCTGGTTATCAGTGAGTAACTCACATTTCATCGTTTTCAGTATCGTGGTTGATCGTGCCCAAACCGAAGCAGGTGGTTTTCTTAGGGGGCCACACCCGGAGCAGTTCCATGGTAGCCGGTGTCCAAAGGTTGGTTCATACCCCATTTGTTCCTTCAGGATACTGGAGCACATGTGCACCATTGGTTTGGAATTAGGGTTTTTCATCTCCCCTAGGTGGACTCACCATGTCCACCAACCCGGTTGAAGCACCGGACCTTCACTTTTCGTCCTCTCAATTTCGTAAACAACACCCCTGCCACGAGAAAGCAGTGAGTAGGACTTCCCTGGCAGAGGCTATATACGCGTGGCGATGTGAGAGTATTTTGTGAGGTAGAGCTGACTGCCCCTACTCTCAGCCGTAACTGGGCATTTAGGGGAACTTCCAAAACTATTACCTAGCGTAAGCTCTTGAAGGTTTTCAACTAATTTAGTAAATGATTCAACCCTTTTTTATTCAATACCTAAAGTTTAAGAAATTAAAGCATTATGTGCATATTGGAATGTAACACCAAAGGAGCATATAATCTCATTGTGTGACGACGCTGAATTGTTTATTTCATCGGGTCTTTTGAGACTTAATTGCAATGAAATAACACTTCACTATTTGTAAATTATCATACTCAGTATTTAAAATTTTGAAGATCTTGACCACTTCATTTTCATTAACCTCCACTTGTCTGTGATAATTCTGTAAAACCCCTTTAGTTTACTATAGACTAATAAATATTAAAAAAATCACTTATAAATACAATCGTATAGCTTCAGAGAATGATATCGTCGAGAAGAAAACTCTTCACTGAAACATCATTCTTTTAAATTTATTCAAAGCCTAGTTATTTTTGCATTTTACATCTTCATATTTATAATTTTTGATCGTTATCTATCTTTGAATTAGTTATGATGTAATATTCTCTATAGTAAAAAAAATGAATATACTTCATTACTAATAAGCAACTATGACTTTCCCCACAAAATAAACAAAGTTAAATTCAAATCGGAGCAATTTGAAAAAGAGATTTACATTCTCCTGTCATACACTTGATATAATTTTCTTATTTATATAAACAAAATACTATAACAATTATTCAAAGTAAATATAATTTAGAGTAATTGTTTCCAATTTTTCTTACTTAAGAGACCATGTTTAATAAACATACAAATTAAAATTTCGGGGTAACATTTGATTCCATTTTCATGATATAAATCGATTAGTATCATCTAAATAATAAGTAGCGTTTTTGGTTTTTTTAAAAATGTAAACGCCCTAAACGTACATTATTTTAACTACAGATATATTGATTCCTTTATTTAGTTTACTTACGTTTAACGTTGAATAATATTTCAATTTTGAGAAATAAAATAAATTTATATATTTGTTAAGCTTTTTATTTCTACATTATGAACTACAGTTGAAAAGTCTATTTTAGTATAGGTGCTTAGATTTTCTTATTTAGGTACAACGTTTTATTAAAGTTAACTAATGGTCATAAGTGGAATTCAAGTCATACTCCTTGTGCCACTTGAGATATATCAACTAGATATACCTGCTTAAATAATGCTATATAAATGTAACATCTTTGTAGTAACTTTGATCATTGGTATTACTTAACAATGAGACTTGGATCCACATTTTATTCTATATCATACTCGTTGACTTGAATGTACGTTAACCAAAATATCAGTTTAAGGCTTCATGACTTATATACGTGGATCACTAACGAACTATTGCAAGATTGAGTTGAACTAATTAACCAATTATATATGATCGGTATTTTATTTTCAACTTGAGAAAAAGTTTGAATCATAATTTCACATTGATTGTTGCTATGTTAAAATAAATTCTTTCAATATCTATGCATGTTTGACTAAATAAGTAGAATTCATGATTTCCCAGCATGAATTCAGTATTATATTGATCTGTAACTGATGAATAATTTACATAATTTTGTTTTGTTTTTACGAATTTCACTCATATATCATTAATTTGGTGAATAATTTTCATGACTTTTGTTTACAAACATTGATTTGTGCATAAAATCTATTGTTTTCTGCTACAGTCTAACATATTCATACGGAACAGAACAACAACAAAAAGAAAAAAAGCAACAAATCAACTGACTATTTCACTTAATCCATTATATTTTCATTAATTTATTTATAGAAAATACCAATTCCTTGGAGAAAATTCTTTACATCACTTCCTGTCTATGCAATAATTATTGCGAATTTTGCAAGAAGTTGGTCATTCTATTTATTAATTACAAAGTCGCCAAAATATTTTCGTGAAGTATTTGGTTATAATTTAGCTGAGGTAAACATAGTACATTGAAACCAATTGTTATTTAGCATGAGTTTTTAAATATTTCAATCACTGAATGTTAGATCTTGGATGTGTTATAAGTACTTTGATTAATTACAACAATGACCAAGTCGTTTGCACGAACGTCAAAGAGCTATGTACAGTTTAAAAATACATACTATGATTGTGGAACTTGGAAGTAAACTATATGTTTTATAAGTTTTTTCCCATATGAATTGGAGTGAGGACAAACTCCACTCTCGTTCTCAATTTCGACCTTGCATCTGGCAACCAACCAAAATGAAGCGGGAATTATTATTTACGCTATCATAATCCATGATGGAGGGCATATTTCATTCTCTATAATTTTTGCTGGTTTACATGAAAAATGTAAAGTTTTCGACGACGAAAATATCATTTTATCATTCTATGGATGTGTCAAGTGTAACACAGTCATGATGGAGGAAAAATTAAAACAGTAAAAATAATAACTCCAATTAATTCTGGAATAGTAGTTTTTCTCAAATATCTACAATTGAGTGACTAAATAAATTAAAACATAACTGTTATTACTGACTATGATATACCTGGATGACTTGACAACATGGAGTCTCTTCTCAGCCTATGAAGTGATGTCTTTCAATTTAATTTTACAACCAATAACAACATGGTCAGATAAATATGCTATACTTCTGAGATAGTATTTTTCAACAAGATTTGTCTAAATGAAGCAAAAGCGTTAAACCAAATGCTTCAACAGAAGGTTTCCGATAAGTTTCATACTTTCTACACCAAAACATATGAATTCAACAAGACACAATCATTTTATTAAACAACTTTTTGTTTGTTTTTTCTTCTAGACTGGATTTTTGTCTGCGTTGCCACACTTAGTAATGGCTGTTATTGTTCCTATCGGTGGACAGTTGGCTGACAAATTGCGAAAAAATACATTATCAACAACAGCTGTAAGAAAAATATTCAACTGTGGAGGTAAATTAACAAAATCGCAATATTCTGTCTTATAAATAGAATAAAAAGTTCACACTCGAAATAATTTTGGAATATTGGGACAGTTAATATTAATGCCCGAAAACCTGTTGTACAATTATTTGAAAGCAGTTATTTTAATAAAATTTTGAAGGATACTACATTAACATCATGATAATTAACATGTAATTTTGACATAGATATTTAGAAACTACTTAGATGAATAATGTGAAACTGCAAACTTCTATTCAGCATTTGAATATTCTCATTCTGATCTACTTCTTGATGTCACAGCGTTCACATCAACTGTGATTGTTAGTACTCAATTTCGCAAAGTAACATGTAGGGTAAAATCAGTGTATAGTATCTTTCGCTTACAAATCGTTTCTCGTATGATAAAGATTACTTTCAAACCTATGAATAATGTGTGTTCATTTTTATTAACTAATTGTGTTGTTTCGTTCATCAAACCATGTTTAAATCCAAGTAGTTGCATAAAAAACGTTTTGTATTTAAATACATGTCATTCAATTTCTAAACAAAGGAGGTAGATTTCAAGCCGTTGATAATCAGATAGATTTTAAAAGTATGAATTCTTTAGCATAAATGTGAGTCTGATAGAGACCAATCAGCGTCTTTCATATGGAAAGACCAAAAACACACTGAGAATCGTCCATTTTTCGGCATTCATTTGTCCGTCACCACGACATGCACTACTGTACAGCTAGTCATCATCATAACAAATTTCATTCGACTCATAATATTGAGGAATAATCAAATATTAGCATAGATGAATATACACAGTCATTCATAAAGTTAATAGCTATTGATGTGTTATTGTACAATTAAATATTATGGATCACTTAACAATTACTCTGCGTTCTATGCTGTAAACAATCAGATGAATGAACTCTTTTGAGACTTATAATCTTTCCTGACTTGATTATCTTCGGATTATACTCAAAATATTTTTATAAACATTGTTTACATAAGCTTAAAATTAAGTGTAATTAAATTCAGATCCATTTTATTTCTTTATTTCAATATATAAACACTTCCTCCATATACTTCAGACAATAATCATTAGAGTGATGATTCGGAAAATTTGAAAATAGAACAGAAATTTAAAAAAAGAACTAAAAACAGTGTAGATATTTCGAACAATAACACATCTATCAAAAACATCCCAAACCGACGAGTACATTCTAATACTGATTTTTTCAAGATTTTAATGTTGTTTAAAAAGTAATTTACAAAATCAAATTCTCCCTAGACGAAAAAACATTTTGTTGGATTATAAACATGATTTTATAATAGAATTCATTATTTGAAGTACTATCTTAAATCTCTGAAAACAGATTACTAAATGAGATTAGCGAGGTTATAATGTGAAAATAGAAGCTACTTTTAGTGGGAACCCGTGCAAGAATTTTATCTAAGCTGGAATCATATCAACGAGATATATTTCCATATCAGTTACTATAGATCTTCACTATAGCAAGAAAGTCAGTTATAACGACTTTTTTATACAAGCTTTGAATATTCCTAAATTGTAAATTTCATAATCTATCCAGAGACAGCAGAGCTGTGTTCCAATGTTCCCCCTATTCATGGTACATCAAGCCATTATTTTAATAGCGGTTAATACACATGATAGTAGACTCAACATTTCTAGTATAGACAAGAGTAATTTATACGGCTACTTCTAATGACTTTGTTAGTCGGCGAAAAAATATTTTATTAATTAGTAAACAAAAGAAGTTAAATGAAAGATCACTTACCTTTTCCATCAAATTTTAGGTAACTGTTCATCTTGCTTTAAATCTTGATTATGTAATATGATAAAAGTTGATTAAGAATACATGAAGATACAAAAAACAGATAGAATTTAGCTTTCTGACCTGCAGTCGTATTTAAGTTAAGAACGAAAAAAAGGGTTAATCACACATAATTTCTATCATGAAGACAGTTGAGCGTTAGCTACAGGTTCCTTTGATGAAAACAAAAGTCAGGTTTTAGCCTTCTGATTTCCATAAATCCCCAAATCTTAATATGACACCACATTTTTGTTCTTCAGTGGTTTTGTATTTGTTTAGTTCATTCACCTCATGATCATATGTCCAATAACCGGTGCCCAATAGAGCTAGGTAGACATTTCTGTTTTTTAATATAATAAACAGATCCAACTAGAAACGTTTAGTAAATATTGGAAGAATAAGATAAAAACTTAACAAAAACTTAGTTATTTCAAAGATTGAAGCGTCGTATCTCAGGGTAAATATTTGATCACCATATACATTATTGGAAATTCTTTTGTGATTCTGTTATACGAAAAATTCACTCATAAATAAAGCACGGAAAATCAATTCATTTATATTTTTAATAGGAAGCTCTGGTTCATTTTGTTTGATAACAGATTATATTCATGTATACAAATCAACTATTAAATACAATCACATTGTAGAATCAACTCATTTTATTATTATTATTTTAGTAGTGTAGTGTAAGTATTACTTTAGATAAGTTACTTAAAATAAAAACGATCTTAAAATTTTGTCTTGAATCAAACTCGTCAGCTGGATGTAAATTCGACCCATTTCAGAAGTAATTTTAAGAGAATAAAAGTCAGATTTCTGTCGGTTGACAGGCTGAATAAATTACAACAGATCATGCTATGTAAAAATAAAGATAATTAGTTGATTAAAAAATAGCTGAAAGTATCTCACTGAAACTATAATTTACGGACGACCTTTGAGCAATGCTAGACTGACCTTGGGAGTGTCCACCTAAAAATCAGGACCAAATGAGTATTAATAACCAGTATGGGGATTTAGAATTGTGACTTATAGTTGATGAATGAGGTTAGGAATTAAATTTATAATTTTCATCACGAACTGACTTTAGGTATAATACCAAAACTCTATCTATCTAAACGGATGAGTGAATTTCGCGCCAAAATTCGGAACCTGTTATTTTATACGTGATTGGTTCGTCCATAAACTATAGTCTCGCCAAACGTTGTTCATTCACGTAGTGATTCATCTTCATTTTTACTCATCAGAATACCTCTCGTCATGATAATATCCTTACAATGGAAAAAAAAAATAAAAATTTAGGGAAACATTTACTTAAGTGACTATAGACATTTCAATACAAATGTCTCACTACTCTTATTAAATGAATAAAATAATATTATCTTACATTTTCTCAATAGGTTTTGGAATAGAAGCAATCTTTTTAATTGGTGTTGGTTATTCAAAAACAATTACATCAGCTTTAGTATGTCTTGTTTTAGCTGTTGGATTTAGTGGATTTGCAATATCAGGTAATTGTGTTCTTTTCTAAAGTGTGATATTAATTTATCTAACAATAATTAGTATTTAAACCTTAATTCTTTTTCCTAATAATCATGATAACTTCTTTTATTTCATCATTCAATGACTGTTTGCGTTTTAAAATGAATCTCTCATTCTATATTACCTACCTTTTTTCAAGTTAACATGATTTCAATCTTCATTTGTATATATAACAGCAATGTGGCTAATAAATTTGAAATGTTCGTTCCTGTACAGACTGAATGTGTCATATTGTAGACATCAAAATACTCAGAAACATACTTGAAATGTTTATTTATTGAGTATGGTTAAAATCACTGCTTAATGTCTTACAAAATTAGTAACATAATATTAATACAATACATTTTATTAATTTACAAATGTAGAATGTAAATGAAATTAAGGTTTAGAAAAAAGAAAACAGGATATTCTAATCATTGAATACCATGGAATTGTGACCTTTAGTCTATAACAAAATTAATAACAGCACAATTATATTGATTAATCATTTAGTTGTGATCAATATCGTGTTTGTTTTGTCCTTAAAAATAAACAGGTACTATTGATCAAGCTTCAGTGAAGGCATTAATCTAACTAACTCACAATTGTATGCATTGTATTTTGATCTTTGATATTTTCTGTCAGCTATCTATAATCATCCAAAAGCAGCATTTTCTATGTGAAAAAGAATAGATAGTATTAAATTTGAGGCACAAGCTGTAATACTTATGCGATTGGTAAATATAATTACAGTAACCTATAGCAACCCCTATCTACTGATATTTTAAATAAAGCAAACATAAAATTGATAAGGTAAAAGTATCTGATCCCAGTTCAATGATTACATGTTAGATCTTACTAGATCCTTCTCATTTTTGTTTCAATTACCAACGGAATTATTATTGATCGATATTTTATTCACTGACTAGTGTGAAATGTAAACCAATCTTATTCTAATTTTTCAAAAAAAAAGATAAATCAAAATTAAGTTAATTCTTTAATAAACAAAATATTAAACAAGGAACTATTGAACTTGTCAGCAATGAAATCTAGGACTCGTGTTTCGTCCTGTTTAGGACTCATCAGCTAAGAGGATTCAAACAAACAATACAAAGTGGATTTATTGAACTTATCATTTCAACTTTGAAATTATTTGCAAATTTTTTCTCCATAAACTTAGTAGGTTATTAGAAATAATAATGAAATAAAAACACAAAGACAGTGATCGAATAATCACATTAATAATAATAACAATAATAATAATAAAAGATAATAAGAAAACCTATTTAAAAATTATGTCAAATAAATCGAATTAATATTACCTATTTTCCACATTTCTCATGATGGTAGTGACTGATTTGGTTTACTTTTTCTGTCCTTATCGTTTCACATCTCTTTTTAATTGATGATTTAAACTAATTATTCATTATATTGTTATAATAAATATCCTATCAATAATAATTTTGATGACAAAAAGAAAATTAAGAACATTTTGTGTATGTTTGGTGATGTGACATCAAGTAAAGTAGAACAAACTGGAAACTTGAGTAGTATTTGTGTTAGTAGGTCATAGTAGATTAAGCAGTGATGTGAATTATAAGCAGAAATAGATGGTGGCTAACAGCAGAATCCAGGACGCGCGTTTAATCCTACTTGAAACTCGTCAGTTGGATGTACCTACATCCAAGAGTTGATGCTCATTCCGGAAGTTGAACCCAGTACCGTCCGCTTCAAACACTATTACGTTATCCACTTAGCTACTTATTCCTGATAGCCACCAGCTTGTGATGTAAATAAACAAATTTTCAAAGAAATATATTTAAGTTACCAAATGATGTCATTTACTGTCTTTAACTAACTTTTACTCCTAATGTACGACTTTAAATGACAGGTATTAAAGCAGTGGTTAATAACTTAAATGAAATGTAGATATCTAAGGTAATCAAGAACTGTAAGAATATGCTATCTCAGAATTTAAAGGGAGATAAACAGCACTAGATATCTAGGTTTTGAATAAATATTTACAGACAAGATGAATCAAGATCAATAGTTAGAGATATAAGATAACCGTTTTAACTGTTCTTCGACGAATATGTAATAGCATCTAATTTAGAATATAATTTTAGAGAGTTTAGGAATAGAAAAATTGTATTCTTGATTTTAACACTGTTTGTATAATCACAAATTTTCACTTTTGTTTAAATGAATTAAGTAATAATTCATTTGTATTGGTTGTTTGAATCTTCTTATCGATGTTTAGAACTTCAATTGTTTACTTTTTGTATTAAGTAATAGTTATGAAATCATTCAACTAACAGAATATATTTCACTAGTTGAAATCATGAGTCAATTGAAGCTAGACCACCATGGAAAACCTGAAGCACTGGATGGCTGCTTCGTCCTAGTATGGGACTCCTCAGCAGTGCACATGCACGATCCTGCCCCCTGCGAGATTCAAACCCAGGATCTATTGGTCTCACGCGCGATTGATTAACCATAAGACCACTGAGCTAGCCGGCATCCAACGGTGTTAATGCCTAACTTTAACCAATCCACGAAGTTGAGCCACCGTACACCATTGTCTTCAGTGAGTTGATATCTCACAACAGACCTAGCTGAACTCCACTGGTAACGGCTTCTCACTAGAACTCTAGGAAATGCTTCTTGATGTCAGTCACTAGTGAGAAGATGATTATTATCAGAAGGGAGTTTTTGGAGATTTTAGTCATTTTAATAGTTGAAATCATGAGCCAATTAAAGCTAGACCACCATGGAAAACCTGGAAGCTTCAATTAACTCATGATCTCAGCTATTGAAACTATTGAAATTTCTAAAAATCTCCAGAAAACCCCTTCCGATAACAGAATATATATTTATACTATAATGAGTAATCACAAGATTAGACACTCGCTGATGACTATGAAAAGTGTTTATTACTAAGAAATAAAACTAGAAAATAAAAACTATGAGATTTTAACGAACTGGTTCAACATCAAAAAGTTCATCAGACTTTTTAAATGTCATCTATTTAGTCTTCATATGTTCAATATTGTCTATTACTTTGAGATTTCTGATCTAGCGTTCAACCAATAAAACTAGTTTGATACGATATTTTATTTGCATGATTTTGAATACTCATTCAATATATTGATCTTATCACTATTATTACTATTACTATTATCATTATTATTCAGTCCAGAATGCACAGTTAAGACTACCCCTTTCATATTATTGAGATAAATTTACTATTTTTGTTTTTCTATCATAAATACATCTTGTCATTGCTCCAAAATTCACAATAGAAATAATGGTAAAATGATTATCAAATTCATGCTGAGTTTTTTTATGATAAGAGTTTAGGATTAAACTCTTCATTTGACTTTCTTTAATGTAAACAAAACTAGTGTTGATGAATAATTTGTTTGAATGATTCATTTTTATTCATTGGTGAAAAACTTCATTTATGAAAATGAACCCTCTAAAATGGATTTACATTATCATAATAAATTCTACTAGAAAATGGGGTATTATGGATATTATAGTAACTTTTAATAGTTAAGATCATGAATTCATTGAATGTAGATTAGTTATTATTGACTAATATTTCATATATGGATTATATGAGGAGAAAAAAAAGTGCTGCATTGTACATACTTTTGCCTGATTCCGTTTGTTTTGTTTATTGTACATGGAATCCAACTTCAAAATAATTTCCTCAATGGTGTTAATTTTATTGTCACATATTACAGGAGAGTAATCGTGTTTTAGAAACCAAAATCATATGACATATTTTAACAGTACGAAAATGAGCTTTTTGTGTTAGTCTATATACAAATGGAAAGTCGATGAGACTATAATTTATGGACAAACCAATCAGATTTAAGATAGCAGGTCTTATATTATGGTGCAAGATTCATAGACTCATTTGGTTAAATACCAATTCGTCATTATAGCTGATATTGGTTCTTTCAACTTTAAATCTTAATCCTAGTCCTTCACACTAATTTATAACCATCATTTAACCCTTGTAAGTTCATGGACCTTTTCAAGGTCACATTAGCGTTGCTCAATGGTCGTCCATAAAATATAGTCTCACCCTGTTAACCTAATGAGTTTCTCCTCGAAATTTTTTTGAAATTCTTACAACTCACGAAGCTAGTTACTTCAAAACTCAACTTGAGACGATACTACTGTTAGTATCTTGATTGCTTATCTGTTCTCTGATAAAGTATTTGGCAAACACATTAATATTTATTTAAGTACAGTGAAATATAAATGGGGTATAGTAATTTATTACAAGTGTATGAGATGTTAGCAGGTTGTAAGAATAGGATTATCTAAAAGCCTCTGTAATTATAAGTAAAATTAGTTAAACATCCATCTAACGATTTCTGATAATATCATTTTAAATCTTTGCAATAAAAATACAAATTAAGCCAACAATTTACTGTTGTAATAAAACATATAGTATTAAATAAAACACATTTAAATACACTGAACTTTTCCTGTAATTAAAAGCATCAGCATATTGGTTATGAGAGTAAGATATTGCATTTTAGACCGCTGACATAAATATCAGTTTTCCAATGAACTTGAACAAACGATAAATCATCGACTGACAATTCAATTCAGTACACACTAACTGACTTTCAACAAATATCCAACACGTTACATTCGTTTCAGAACCATAATCAAACAATTTAATTCTGAGAGAGTTGTGTATAACCATTTTTAAAACAAGAAAAACTTTTCTAACCAATTCATGTTCATAGAAAATAGTAATAAATCTAATTCATTCACATAAATGTTTCCCGTTCTTCAGCCCTAGTTCTACTAACTGAACCTATTCTATTTAATTCATAAGTAGTAAAATTGGTATGCAATACAAATCTGTTTGAATACCATACAATATATAGATTACAGACTTCAATTCAATGAAAACTTTACACAATTTCATATCACAGTTACTTAGTTTTCATTGTACATAATTTTACTACTTGTGAGTAACCAATGTCATCTGTTAAAATATAATCAATCTGCAAATCAGTAATCACAAATTTGTTGACTGTTCACCAAAGTTTAATTAGTTTGTTGGTTTTACAAATACAAACGTTTCAGGGAATTGATGTCTTGAAACGATTTCACGTTGGAATACAGTATCAGTAAGCTATTATTCACCTCGTAAATATTGAACAAACTATAGATAGCTGACATTCGATGTAACTTCCAAAATAATTTCATTGTTGTTATTTGTTCCCCCATCAAATTCTTTTCAATTATATAGCGCACTCCTTCCAATTTTCCTGTATACTATCATTCTACGCGTTGTAAGTGTATTTCTTATCTAGTATGAAAAAACTGAATATCTTTTGGTAAGTTAACTCACGGAATGGACTTAGTTCTATTTCATTAACAATACATCAATTATCAAGGTGTTTTTATAGTTAAACTTCCGTTATTTTATCTTCTTTAAATATCTGACATATTTTTACATTTTTAGGTTATAATGTTAACCATTTGGATATTGCACCACGTTATGCCAGTATATTGATGGGTTTATCTAATGGTGTTGGAACAATATCTGGCATGATTTGTCCAATTACAACAGAATTACTTACCAAAAATCAAGTAAGCACTGCATTGAATTTCTCTGAAACTTGCCGAAAGGTTGTTCGGTAATATTGAGTCACTTCTTATTATTTTTAGTTTACTTGATTAGTTTACAGAAGGTGGAGTTTTTTGTTTAGGAAATGAATGATATTGATACAGTTATGTGAACTGAATATATTGGTTAGGCCGAATAAGTTATTTGGTAAATACCACATTGCAAATAGTGAGGTACTGATTTACTAAGTCTGTAAAAATAAATCTCTCACTTCATACTAACAGTCCACTATCGTTCATTTCAAAATCATATAAATAAACACTTGAGTATACGTTAAGATACTATTTTATTGGTTTATTCTTGTATTACGTTTGGCATTGATGTTTAAGATTCGAATTTTGTTCTATTTGGAACTTGATGAATGAACATTCCTACTGAAACTGAAACGTAGAACTGACTACTTCAAGTACTGACGCCTTATACACCAAACTACTAATTTTAGATAGCCAATAATTAACGCTGATAAAGTTGTTTGTAGCGGTTCTAGTTTTCATGTTAGGGATACTCAGGACTGCATTTGGTTTCTGTTTGAAAATGTGCTTTCTGAGTGAATCCTTATGTTTGTCTTATGTTTACCAATGTCTGATATGTTTTCGGAGAATGAAAGAATATGGTCTTGAATATCAACAAGGGAAAAATGTAAGCCATTAAAACAAAACTGATTCTTCCTATGGTTAATACGGCTAAACACTGGCTGTGTATTTATTATCTTGTAATAATTTCCTAAACGATTAGGTAACACAGAAAATGTTTTGGTTTAAAATTTCTTAAATACAATGCTTAAAATCAGTCTTAGGAAAATATTAAAATGATATAGCTTTACTTTCAGTACTTACTTAACGTTAGAAAATATGGTCAAAACTTAAGTGTTAGAGCAGTTTTAATCCAGTAGAACATTTTGAAAAAAGCAACTATCATATTATAAGACCTATTGAAAGCTAAGCATGAATTGCAAATAAGTTGTTTGGTAAAGTGCTTAAACCCGTTCAATCAATAATTATCAACTTGATTTACTAATGCCCTTAACACCTATTTAAATACGAATAGCATAATTGACCTTTGAACGATATGTTGGTTTTTTTCATTAGAATAAGGAAGGATGGCCAATAGTTTTTTTGATAGCTAGTTTGGTTCACTTTGCTGGTGTTACATTTTATGCTATCTTTGCATCTGGAGAAAAACAACCTTGGGCAGATGCACCTGAAGAAGCTCAATGTAATTGGCAACCACCAACCGATTTACCAGCAGAGATGATGCACGGAGAATATGGCTATGCAGATCCAACTGAAAGAAAAGATAATAATCTGTCTTTTCGAAGAGTAAGTAACCAAAGGAATTCATCAACTGATAGTAATCAATTCTATACTTCAAGTTCAAGATATACATCGGGTTATAATCAATCCACTGTAAATGAACCACTAGTAAATTCTCAAGGTTATGGTTATGGTGAAACTTTAAGTGGAACAACAAAAGAACAAAATGTTAATCCATATCATCAAGGTTATTAAAAATAGCATAAACAAATTAAAACTAATTTCCAACTAACCATAACAATATCAAGAGTTACTTATATTAACCAGTAAATCACTGAAAAGTTGTCCACATATATACCTGGATAATCAAACATCATAATAACCGTTTGTTTAAAATTGAAATTTCTATGAAAGAAATTCTAACTATTATTATCAATACAATTACTGATCTTAAAAGAAGAATCTAGAAAACATGTTTCACATTCCTGTTGATCTGTTATTACAGATTTTGTTTCCTTGTTTGTTTTCTCATCTTTGCAACACTTTTATTTATCAGTAAATATATATGTGCATTGTTTGATTTTATTCATTGCAAACAAAATATGCATATTTATTCCCTTATTTATTGATTTATTTATTACTAAATTTGTCTTAAAAATTCTTTTCTTTCTTCTTTCAACCATATTGATTAGCACAACTGTGAAAACCAAATATTTTATTTATTTATTTATTTAATTGAAATCTAAATGGATACAGCATTTATTGTTACTATGCTGATTATCATTATCATTATTTGAATGGATATGAAATTGATTTTGCCACATTTGAGTTAGATCTTTTGTCAATAAGTAATCAAAATGAAAAGAAAAACAATACTGTTTAACAATTTCTTTTTTTATTATTCACTCTTACTAGTTTCCATATCTTGTATTGCTATCATTTCTTGAATTTTTTTTCTTTGTTACTGCCTTCTAAGGCTTGAAATGTTCCTTGTTTTGTTTCATTTTATTCTAAAAAAATTGCACATCTAGTCTAAAGAAATTGATCTTAATAAAATAGGCAGTTTTTTGTTTCTCATTTTACTTCTATAAAATAGACGCCCAATTGAATTATTCATTTTATTTAATAATATGATATGATCTATATGGATGCATATTTATAGTACTATCCATCATACCTGATTTTTACTTTCTTTATAAATGATGTTAGAAATTTAAAAAAGTTCTCATAAACTATCCAAGTATAAAGAATAATAAAGTGAACGTTTGTTTCCAATAATTTCATCTTTAGACTCACCAGTTATAATTATCGTATTAGATTGGGCGAAATAAGAACTACGTAACCTAATTAAACAACGAGATTTGTTAAAATAGTAAATATTTGCATTAGTTATTGTTTAAATACGTCATAATTGTCTAATTAATTTATGCATGTCTTATTTTTGGCAATTGTAATACAATAATTATAGACTTATAACTATAGACTCTATTGATAAAGTTATTGAACACGATTATTCGCTTGAAAATTGTTGTTTTTGTATACGTTATTCATTTAGATGAAACTTATCAAATTGAAAATAATAAATCTCAATAAATATTAGCTCTCTTTTGATACTTTAAGAAAAATGAATTTATCTAAAATTAGTACTTTAGCTTGACGCTTGATTGATTAGTTCCTCTTATTCTTCAAGACGACCAGAAAAGCTGAGGAAAGTAAGGACGAAATCAAAAAATGAAATTTTTTGCTTTTCTACGTTTTTATAATGCACTCCAAAACTCTTCAGAGTAGGGAAAGATTTCCAGATGCATTTGAATGAACGAAGAGAACAGTTTGAAGAATGTTTACAAATCGTGAATTCACTAGACCTGAAACTTTAGTTAGTCATATCATAGGGCACTCCATTCCTCTCTGTATATGAAGAAAGCTGTAGCGGAACATAAATCTTAAAATAAAATGGGCTTTTGAGTCTCCTACGTTGATGTTGACATTATTAGTTACGCTGGACACATCTCTAGCTGGAGGCAATCGGTTAACCAGAATCATCAAATCAAAGAAATACAAATAGTATCAAATTTAATTACCAAATAAGTATGTTCTAACTCACTGGACACATGTCATTACGCGCAACTCCTAGGTAGGCAAAATGGTTTATATTCAATATTAAGTCAAAATAAACACTGATTTTTGAATCAGAATCGAATTTCAGCTTTTCTATGTCTCATGAAATCGAACACCAGATGGTACATTACAAAGGTTTTAAAATCGCAAACCAACTTAGAATGGACAATATACGAATTTTCAAAGTCCAGTCCCATTAAACTGAAAGAGAAACTTGATTCAATGTTTAGCAGAAAAGGTCGGACGAATAGACTAAGAAGACACAATAGACGAGGAAATATCTAACCTATGTGTGGTGTTTGAATGAACTAATGATTCCTTTGTACTTGTTGAATGCTTGATTTCGAATTCCAAATACAGTACATTCGTCTGTGCTTATCGAGTACTTCTTGATCCGATTGCGTTATTTCTGAGATTCTTAGTTCATATTATAATTTAAATACTCCTATCATACTATGACAGATATGCCTTTAATGTTCTTAACCTTCTCAATTTTAATTCTTTTTTATTATCAGCTTTACGTTTTTAACTTATTCTTCACTCATCCCATACTTGTCAAGTAGACATTTGTCTTTCACACATTTGATTTCATCTCGTTATCTCTCTTCAGTTACGGATTATTACCCAATATTCCTTAAAAAACTATAGGGTGTAATTGTCCTCCTCCTGTCAATAGATTATTTTAACTGTATATCAACTATTAATGTTATTGTATATCTTGGACACTTGGTATTATCGGAAAGGAAAATTTCTTAGCTGGATTATTTTAGCTCTTCTCAGATGACAATATGGGTTGCTTTCTTTATTTAAAGTATATCTGATTCCTTCTGCTTTGAGATCATTTTTAAAAATAGGTGACTTACCAGGTTTAAGGTTGATAATCAATTGAAGAACAATCTTCTCAGTCACAAGCACTAGTCCTATATCTGTAGTTACGGGAAGTGTTGATAACCGTATCATAGAGCAGAAGTTTCTGACATATTATGATGAGGCCTCAGCTCTGGCCATATCTAATGCACCCGGCGTGTCTGGGTTGCCGTGCCACAGTGATAAAGAAGTCCCATCACTTTGTCTTGTTCTTTATTTAATGTACAAAAACAACAGTCTTAAGCAAGTACGATAGTCTTGTGCCAACTGCTTCTGGTAAGTGGCAGATAATCTGGCCATAGCAGTTTTACACATAGTACGCATTTCTAGTATTCCCGCCTAAATGACCCATGGTTCATTGACAAGATGTATCAGAAGAGTTTGCAACGTCGCAGCAGCTTTCGGATCACTCAGTCGGTCCGTAGGCAGCAATGTGACGTCTTATTTGTTGACCATAAAGCCATCGGTAACGTTACAGACTTGAATATGCTTTCGAACGTATTGCAATTGTCTTCGACCAATCTATCTACGTTGGGTGACCAGTTTGTTGATACAGCTCAGTCTCTACCGGAACCTAAGCCTGCTGGATATTAGAATGGGTGGAGCAGATACGTCTAGTACATTATGCGTCCGAAATAAAATACACTGCAATCACTGCTCACTAATCATCCTAGGTTCTGAATCTCGGTGACATAATCACGGTGTTGTATAAAGACAAGACCCAAAAATGATTGTTCATGTCTGAGTCAATACGTGCCGATTTTACGATAGATTACACGAGTACTCAATAAATAATTGTTGGTTTTAGGCTGGCGTAGAAGAATGTGACTGAAGTTGTTTGTTGTATCCAACTGATGTGTAGCACGTTGAAGTCTTCATCTAGAGAGCTTACTTGATTAACTCCTCAATATTCCAGATAATTAAACTGGGGATGGATTTGACTTCTTTCGAAAAGTCGTCCACGGTTCTTGAGATTCTTATCTCCGCTTTCATCCCATTAACTACTGAAGCCTTTTCTTTGATCGTCTTGTTTATTTTGACATCTGGACCAATCTGTCAATTGATACAATCCAGTTTGTCTCACGAAGGTTGTTTTTTTACCTTTACTCATCGTATAATTGGATTCATCTTATCAGTAGTGTTTACAGTTAATGCAATTTAGGTGGGTGGTAGTTTCTCTGTTATAACAGCGCGAAACGTATTAAGACAAGGCGTAAACATAGTCTTGACATGACTCTTTTCTCCTCAAGTGTGTTGACGATACGTTTTTAAAACTTTCGACTAGGAGAAAGAAGTGAATTGGCGGGACAACAGATAACAGTTTTGGTTTTCTTCTCGCTTCTCGACCGTAGCTGCTGCCTTGACGCGGTGGTCGGGCCTGCCTATCGTGATGACCCAACTGAGCTATATTGGCTAGGACATATGTTCCTGTAGGTTCTACAATGGCATTCAGGTCGATTGGAGAACGGTAAGACTAAAATCAGCAACCCAACTCAAGGTCTGAGTGCGAAATCGTACTGCCGACTGTAGAGGGCTGTGACAGCAGTAAGGCGTTTCCCTCGGACAGCCAGCATCTGCAGCGATGCTGCCTTTTCACAACGAAGGAAGGGGTTAGAAAAGGTCGACCGTAAAAAGTCACACCTCACCTTACCTCACGGACTTCCGTCTCCGGCGGTATGGCCTTTAGAAGAACCAAGCTAACACATTAAAAATCTCCCACAAAATGGCCGTGAGCGACTGGCCTCAAGCAGTCGTCTCTTGGGCTCTGCGGTCACGCTCCCAGGTTGTTAAAACCAACACTGACCCGATTTCCTTTTCAGGTTCCTCAAGAAATAAACTTCCACGGTGTGGGCAGCCGGTAAGTAACACCAACCCTCATGCCCGTAATAGCACACGCGATCAAGTTGGTCACACTCAAATCCTTCCTACACCTTCTAATGCCTCTCTTATCTCCACGACTAATCCTTCTCACGTCCCTTTATCACCTCATACCGCTAGGGCGAACGATTTGAGTACGCGGAACGTTATTCCTGGTCTCCTGAAACCACGCTCTAATTTGCATGTTGGAGCTTATCACGTCCGAACACTGTGCCAAATAAGACAACAGGTTTCCTTTAGGACTTTAGAATCTCGCGCCATCGATGTGTGCTGCGTCTCCGAAACGCGCATACAGGATCCGAGTAGCGTCATTCATTTGACCTCACCATGCCAAAATAAAGAACCGACTCGATTCACACTTCGTGTATCTGGTAGCCCAGATGCTGCTTCCCGTTGTCTCGCCGGCGTAGGTATAGCATTGAGTCCTAGGGCAGAACTAGCTCTCTTAGAGTGGATCCCAATAGACAGTCGTTTGTGCGCTGTCCAACTAAACGGAGCAATAAGGACTCGGAAATATAGGGACACTCGTCGTTGCCTCTTCGTTGTCTCTGTCTACTCTCCCACTGACTGCAGCCCAGAAGATGTAAAAGATGAGCTTTACAGGAAGCTTTCGGACCTTCTCCGAAAAGCTAGGTGCTCGGATGTAGTAATAGTGGCTTGTGACTTTAATGCTCAAGTAGGTAAACTAAGCCATAGGGAAAGACACCTAGGTGGATCTAATGGTATCGTGACCCAAAGAACAGATAATGGCGACCGTCTGTTGCAGCTATGCTCATATAACCGCCTCTTTCTTGCAAATACTAACTTTAAGCATAAGGAAAAACATCTTTTAACATGGCGACCCCCTAATTCGTCCCAACGTCGGACCCAAATAAGTCACATCGCTATCAGCCACCGATGGAGGGGTTCGATAGAAGACTGTCGCTCATTCTGGAGCACATGCTTAGATTCAGATCATGCTCTAGTACGAGCGCGTATCTGTCTGCGTCTTACAGGACGTAGGAAAGACGCTGCAAGTAAATCTCTTATAGTCTTACTTAATGATAGTCAAGCTAAGAGTATATTTCAGGAACAACTAGGAAAACCGTTAAGCAGTCATGTATGTGATGCCTACTTCGAGGCAGCATGGAATGACATTCGAAAATCTGTGGAAGCAGCAGTGATATCTGCTAGTACGGTTACAAGTAAGGTTAGGGTCAAACACTGGATCTCAGCAGCATCTATTGCACTGATAGATGCTCAAAAACTCATTCCATCTGGATCTGATTACAAAAAAGAGCGGAGTCAGCTTAAGCGCAAGCTGACAAGAAGCCTACACAAGGATCGTGAACAGTGGTGGGTAGCGAAAGCAAGAGAGATGGAAAAGGCAGCGGCACTAGGTAATATCAGACAATTGTTCAGACTTGTTAAGGAAACCGGTATTAGGAAACCGATTGTTAGCGAAACACTCTCAGAAAAAGATGGACATATTATACATTCTCAATCCAGGAGATTGGATCGATGGGCAGAACACTTGAGGGATCAGTTCAACTGGCCTTCAGCCACACTTCGGTTTCCCACGATCTCTAGTCAACCGGAATGGCAACTTAATGTTGAAAAAGCTATAGGAAATCTGAAGCGAGGGAGAAAGCA